AGGTAATACAAAGTTGACATTTTTCATTCATAAAATCTGAAATGAAATTGTAAAATTATCAATGAAAATATTGCAGAAACTGCATAGAAAATAAAACAAGGTAACACAATTATAAATAGATGTTTCTCTGAAATCGAATCATTTATTTCATTTGCTTACAGGTTTCTACATATACATTGAAACTTCAAGTCCGAGAAACCTCAACGACATCGCTCGCCTTTGGACATTGCCATATCCTGCAACAAACGGCACATGCTTCAAGTGGTTCTACCACATGTACGGGGCCACTGTGAACACATTGAGTGTGTACATAGTCAATACAGCAGATACTCTTGGTACACCTGTGTGGTCAATAAAAAACGAGCAAGGAAATGTTTGGCGACGTGGACAAATTTTTGTGGAAACAAGTAGTGCCTACGAGATAGTGTTTGAAGGAATTGCAGGAAGAAGTTATACAGGAGATATTGCTTTAGATGACATCAGGATCACCGATGGAGCATGTGTGCGAACTGGTATTATACACGTTATCAGCTTTTAACACTTCACAGCCATAAACAATATTATATCCCTTTTGTCACCTTACATATTACCCGGAAACGTTACCATCCTAGGTCCGATGCAACCTGTCATATTTCCATCTAGCCTTCCGTTCATAGGTCTATTACAACTTACATTGCTGCATCCGACCTGTAACCTTATCGTTATATATTTGTTTGCAATTGTTCTCCATGTGCATTCAAATTGACGAATGAATCATTAGATTTTGAAGAAATGAATTGCGGTTTAAAATAACACACATCAACTGGCCATAGTTGTTATTATTTAACATTTATCTTATGGGTGGGTTATCGCTATTTTGTTAATTATACTCTCTATTATGCCGGTGATGTTATACTTACAAGTTGAGAGGTTTATGCAGAATTCTCGATGAGCATAAAAAGGATATTGTTCTAAAAATATATATTTTTATAAAATTAATATTATTTGTGATGAGCAGTGATGTGTTACTAATACGGACATTGTATTTGATTATTTTATGATTAATTTCTAATTGAAGGAACTTGTGATATTAGCTGCTTGAACGGCGGAGTATGTGTCATCACGGATTATGGTATTGAAAGCTGTCAATGTACTCCTGGTTATGTTGGACCAACATGCAATATAAGTATGTTTTTACAGTGCATAATGTGGCTTACGTTTATTTATTTTATATTATTTAACTTTATATAATATTAAATCTAGAGTGTAGAACATATTTTAAAATGTACAGAACCTTATTTCCATCTATGTTAAGACATCCTGTAATAGGCGATTCCGCTGTTTCATGTAGGCCTAATTGAAATAAAATAGAATAAAATAAAGATAACATAAAACGATGCCCTGCATTGCCTGGATGTGGCCGGAACTTTCACATGCACGTAACCATTTATTACATCCCCAGCTAAGCCCCCGTTAGGCCCAGGTCCGGGGGGCCGGGACTACAATTTAAAAGAGCATTACGGGTTCAAGTAGCCTTGTGCTTCACTGCGACTATTGCGACCTCTCTTGGTAACCCTAAAGGTGCTTTGTTGCTGATATGGTAGAATAGAAATAAAGAACCTACATTTGAAATTTTAAATCATTAATGTATGCAGGAGTTTCAAAAACCAAAAAACAAAATGTAACTAAAATACTTAATATTTTATTTGTTTACTATTTAAATATTGAGAGTATGTTATTGTGGCGGTTGGTTCGACTTTATGCGAGTGAGATTTGAGATTCTATTTTATTATTATTATTATTGAACAAGATCATACTCAGTTCTAAGGTAGGTATATGACAGGAATTCATTGTCCAAATACAGGTAGAGGAAACAATAGGAAAACATTTTCTTATAAAATGTTACGAATTATTGTACATTGGTTTTGAATAAATTTGATTAATACTATTATGTTATGTTAATTATTTTTAGAGACAACCCAATGTGATTTCGAAGATCCGTACATTTGTTACTTCGTACAAGATGAATCCGATGATTTTGATTGGATACGATCATCTAGATCAACACCTTCTTCTGGTACTGGTCCTGAGTATGACCACACATACGGAACAATTCAAGGTACTAAAAAGCTGACATGAAAATTATTATTATTATTATTTTCTTAATGGAAATATTGCTGAAAATAAACACAGAATAATTAAAACAGCACCATTTCAAACATATTTAAAATTAATCTCCTTAAAATAAAAACAATTATTTTATGATTTTTTACAGGTTTCTATATTTACATCGAAACTTCAATTCCAAGAAACTATAACCAAACTACAAAAAAAAATGAATTTAAACTTCATGTACAAACAATTTCTCTGAAATCGATACATTTATTTCATCATTTGCTTACAGGTTTCTACATATACATAGAAGCTTCACCTCAAAACCTCAACGACACCGCTCGCATTTGGACACCATCATATCCTGCAACGAACGGTACATGCGTGGAGTGGTTCTACCACATGTACGGTGCCACAGTGAACACATTGAACGTGTATATAGTCAATACAGGGGGTACTGTTGGTACACCTGTGTGGACAAAAAGAAACAACCAAGGAAATTTTTGGCGACTTGGACAAATCTTAATTGAAAGAAGCAGTACCTTTGAGATAGTGTTTGAAGGAATTGTAGGAAGTAATTTTACAGGCGATATTGCTTTAGATGACTTCAGGATCACCAATGGAACATGTTTGAGAAACGGTAAAGTACATGTTATTCTTACAATTTACTACAATAAAAAGGTTATTTCTTTTGCCGCCAATTACTTTTTTTTAAACACATACAACCTTCACTACCCGGTAATTGACCACACGGCCTTGTGACACCTGGGCAGGGCCTGTTACGATACTTCCTTTTTACGACCCTACCCGTTATCTTTCGAGGTCTAATGCTACCTGTCATTCCGTGATGCATATGCCTTTCAGTCCATAGATAGATCCTTTACCACCCAGCATGGGCCGTAACTAAACAATAATAGGTTGTTTATCGGACCCCATTGGATTTAAGCTCTTTTTCAGCTTTATTGGTTATCCTCCTATATTTTTTTTCATTATTCTTTGTGAATTTTGAGTACCGAATAAAACAAACCAAACGAAAACCTTAGGATAGTATAGCTTAATACAACTTTAACAGACATTTCATTCTTGCAATTATTATCTACAATCAATCAATATCACAGATGAATAGATTCACTGATTGCCATATTTTGAACAAATCATTAGCAGTTAAAATAATAAATATATAAGAAATATGCATAGGATGCTTAAATATTATTTAACATACAATGTTTGTATTTAAGGTAGGTTATCATAATATTGTAAATATTTACTAGTTGCCTTACAATTTTAGAAACTAAAAGTAAAGATTAAGTACACTAATATTGAGATAAAATGAAAAGAACATAGACCCACTGGTGGTGTGGGCTGTTAACGAATATTCGTGTTCCTCTTTCTGGATAGTGTAAAATACGTAATGATAATATAAATTAAAAGAAAATGTTATTTAAGTTACACTTATTGTTTTATTCATTTTATATTCCAGTAACTATAGAATACCGAAGTGAAGCTAGATTACGTTACTATTATTCGTTTCAAACATGTATAATGTAGACTTGCCACAAGTCTTATTTTTCATTATTTTTCTCATTCTGGACAGCGCCACCAAGGAGAAAGTTAATTTAGAGACGGAATAGTTAATTTAGAGACGGAATAAGCGACACTGAATGCTGGCACCAAGATGCCAAAAGAATGACATAATCTTATATTTTGTATTTGGATAAATGGGCGGACCGAAATAAACAATTTCAACCAATCAAATGTTCAAAATTTTGGAGCAACGAAACCGAGTCACTCGCATCGAATATTTAGGCATGACTAAAAATATTTAGAATAGACCCTAGTAAGATTAATTTTGGCAATAGCAAAAACAATTAAGCTTAGACTAGTTGAAGTAGGTAGGCAGAGGAGAGCTGGTTAGTTGTCCTAGTCGAGACATCCCACATCTTTCAATTTTGAAAATTTACCAAGATTACTTAATATGCATGATATGCAATCACGTGATTTATAAAATCAGTCATGCATACGATATCCCACATCGAATTTGATGTGGGAAATCGTACGCATGAATCGTTTGCCCCGGCCGCGGCCCTAATTCGAAAAAAAAGAAATCGAGTATGGGACGCCAAATAAATTAGGTATGGCGCGCACTAAGTGCAATAAAGAGCGAGTACCCCAAAATTAGGGCCTGAAACCCAGGCTAACATGTATGTTGCACTAACCTGGGAGCGCCACCAATATATTTATGGTCTTAAATTAAAACCAAAGATCTTATAATAACAAGATATCATTCTCCGCGAATTCTGCGTGCAAATTCTGTAATAACGCAGTGTAGGACGCCCTTGCAATTACAGTTACTTTTGAACTTTGACATCTATGATCGTGCAAATTGTGGAACAACCGCCATACTAACAACTAGTACGCCCTCTCTCAATTACGATTACGCTGCTGTGCTGTCCATTTTAAGACGATTGGCCTAAGTAGGCCTAGTATATGGACGTACGTAGGTCTAGGCTCCCTCTAACTAAGCCTTGGCTAGGCCAGACCAGGACTTCTTTTCAGTAGTCTGGGGCCTAGTCCTAGACTGTGCGTCCAGCAACCAGCAGCAGTCCGTCTAAGCCTATGTTCATTACGTGACGTTAGGCCTATGCAGAATCTGTTGCGAGATCCTCGCCTAGGCTACTGAAGAATCTGCACTGAATAGGCGCATAATACATAACATTTATACAATACAATACACGACATTGGAAAGTTAATATATTTACTTAAATTACAAAGCCTATATTAACATTCGGTTCCCTTTCTCTTTTTCTGGCTGGAATATAGCCGGCAATATTGTTTCAAAGCAGTGGACACTAAAAACAAAAACAAAAAAACTGAACTTCTGCAGTCATGTTGTAAAAGTTTATTTTATTTATTAGGCCCATTGTCTCTTCAAGTAAGAGAAAGAAAAACACACAGGGACAACTTGCTTTTTCTTACATTAGTTGTACCATGAAGGAGTTGTACGGACTGTATTTTCCTATGATGTGCGATTACAGACAGGGCCCACACTTTGTCAATACAAAACATAGCTGAAGTTATGCATGACGTCAGCATACGTAGCCACGCCCTCGGCTGAACCCGTTGTATTTAGCAACTACCAGCAGCCGGCTGGTTATGAATAGAGCACCACGCAGCGGATAGCGCTGCTAGACCTTTGCTATAACAGCAGTAAACAACAGATACGATCTTGCTAATTACTTTAATTACTGTATATGTAAACATTGAAATAGCTTTTAAGCTTTTGTTTTTAATGCAACATTTCGTGTTTTTGCCATTTTAAAATATTTGTACTCGTAATTTAGGTTAATCGTTGATTTAATTCATGATGGTAAGTATGTAGAGCGAAATGCTAGGCTTCTGTGTCACGTGTCTAGATCGCCCACCCTTAGGCTAATATCACACCGAGACTATGTAGAACACTATTTCAATCAATTTTAATTCCATAAACAATTTTAATTATGTCTATCCCACCGATGTCATGCATATTCAGCATCAATATACAATATATTATAATAATAGGTATGATAATCAGACATAGTTCATCAAGTCAACAAACCATTGTCTCTCCAATAAATTATCAAAAGCATGATAATCAGACATGGTTCATCAAGTCAACAAACTATTGTTTCTCCAACAAATTACCCTATACCCACAAATTACATCAATCGATAGAGAATAAATACAATGCGATAGACAAAGAAATATAAATAAAATCGAAAAACTTCCCACTACAAGACCCCGTACTCTGTGCGCCTCGACCACTACGCGAAAGACGCCAAACTCTGTTCTGTTTGTTTCTGTTTCTTCACCGCTCTGCCTTGCCTAATGGGTCGCCAACACCATGTGTCACTCAGCTAGGCCTACTTTCAAGTGATGAGCGATCCGTACCAAGGAGTCAGCCTTAAAATCAAAATAACCAATCATACAAAAATACGAGAACAAAATATGCATAATTATACAAGTATTCAAGTGGAATATTCCAATGATTGGTATTAACACGAGAACAATTAGGCGTAACCTATTACAAAGTACCGTACTCCAGTGGCTTAGAAAAATATTTTTCATTGGGGGGGGGATGATTGGCGTGTTAGCCAGTGTCGTAACAGGGGGCAGGGGGAAAACTTCCCCTCCCCTGACGGTTTTTTACCGGGCTGACCAAGCCGTCGTACCGGGCTGGGTAATAAGAGAAAAGAAAGAGGGGAGAGGGAGGGAAAGAGAAAGAAGGGGAAAAGAAAAGAAAAAGAAAAAGAGAAGAGGAAAATAAAGACAAGGATAAAAAGGAAGATATAATGACCAGACTCCCAATACCCTGCAACTCCACTTCAAAAACTGTCATAACTCCTTTCATCTATGCTGCCCGATGGCGTAACCACTGGGGGGCAAGGGGAAAATATCTATCTTTTGAAAAATCTTCCCCACCCCTTTATAAATGCCCTTTTCATCCCCTGAAAGTGCCTAAAACCGCATTTCTTGTTAACATGGGCCAATTTCCTCTAAAAATTGCACATTTTAGGGAATTTTGATCAATTCCAACGAAATTAGAATTAAAAACACCGGGGGACAAATGCATCCTCTGAAAGTGCCTAAAATTCTAAAATTCTTTGTGCGCATTTCTTGTTACGGTAGGCCAATTTCCTCTATAAATTGCACATTTTAGGGAGTTTTCATCAATTCCGACGAAATTAGAATTAAAAACACAAAAATATTTTGCGTTTTTAGGGCTTTTTTAGGTTTATTCTTTTAAATTATTTAAACACATAGGCCCTAATAGTCCCAAACTCAAGACAAATTTAAGATAGATTGTTTTAACCTAAAAGAAGGGCCTCGTGTATTGATGGTGAAAGAATATGTTTGTAATATTAATAAATAAAACCATGATGAAAATGTTTCAAACACACGTGTGTGGCCTATATTATAAATAAGATAAGCCCTATGTCGTACTGTTTTCTATATGGGGAGTGGCGTGGGGTGGGTATGGTAAATTACTAACCGGGAAAATAGATGCCCACTGTGACCCAAGACGCCTGTTACGCACCTGGTGTTAGCGCCAATGTGTGCCCTTGTGCGGACAGGGGATGTGCCCCCCCCCCTCTGAAGCTGGAAACCTTGTTTTTGCAAAATAAATTGATGCAATTTGCTACTATAGGCCTAATCAATAAATTCTTCATCAACCGATATAACCTTAAACATTCTTGGAATTGACATAACATTACTGATGTCGTACACACCCTTCAGTGTGAAATGTGGCTCTCTTTGCAAGCACATCTAGCATCTAAGGAAAGAAGAGCTTAGATTGGTACCAGATAAAATAATTTTTGTTATCAACATTAATACATTATGCTAATTTTCATCTTTGTGAGCACATAAGACAGTGCAAATTATTTCTGTGACAGTCTTTTGAAGTGTGTAAAGCTCCATTTTATCCCATACATTGTCAAAATATTGGGGGGGATGATACAATGGACCATCCCCTTGTCAAATATTGGGGGGATATATCCCCCATCCCCCGGGATCTACGCCTATGCCGTACTCACCGTACACGACGGCTAGCTAAGAGGAATGCAACGCTCCAGTGTCACATGAGGTGTTTCCACCCTTTAAAAATTTTCCTGATTTCCAACCATCTTTTGGGACATTAGGCCTTTCTATGGTAATTACTCTTTAATTGGATTATAATCATTGCTTTTGTAATTTATTGCCTATGCGAGGTCAGCTATACTATACTATACCATGGGTATGCCTATGTGATTTATTGACAACTTGCTGGAAAACTAAAATCTTTCCGGCTCTCTCTTTTGTTATTGAGTTTGATTGTCAGTTAATGTCAGCACAAAGCGAGGTTCCTCAACCCGTCAGAGCTATTGCTGAAACGGGTATTGAGGTAAAGGGAATGGTAACAGCATGAAGTGAAACACACACAATAACCCAAAATTATACCCCGATAATTTCTATTAGGCGCCTACCACGGAATCCACCACCGCATAAATGCTATTCTTCGCCTCACGTGGTCCTACAACACAACGGCAGGCACACACTGTGCAGGGAGGCGTACGTTTACTTGACAATAAACACTGGAGCAGAGAACGAATAGTCTGGCTTCACAAAGTTATATACCACCTCATTTACATATTAGCTACCCATGTGCATACCGTATCGTATTTTAATATCACTGTTTTGGATTGACAAACTGATGATTTCGTGACACTCCGGAAGTCCCCGAGCGAGTGGTAGTTGCCAGGTTATCGGAAATTTTCATTTCAAATATCGCAAAAATGGTGTATACGGCAAATTGTGTTTTTTTTTTTAATTACGTATACGTTTACTTATTCGTCTTCCTATAGTCGACATAATAATTTTGAAACTCAGCACTACTGAAATTGCCACCGCAACCTAAATTATCATAAGTAAAAAATAAATCAATAAAAAAAATTAAAAGTGTAAAAGGAAAATAGTAGATTTTCTGAAGAAATATATTCTATAAGCATACAATACTGCAAAGTACACGTTTTGTCTATTATCAATATCCCACTAATCTGTTGTTTGCAACACATTTCTCAAACAAAAATGGTTCTTTCTTTAGCGACTTTTAATGTGCGTGGCTTAACCAAACAGTCTAAAAAAGAACAGCTGGACGTTGAATGCAACAGATACAAATTTTATGTTGTCATCACCAAAACTGTATTAATACAACAGATGAAATTCCTAAAATGTCGAAAGCACTCACAACATTGACTAACAAAACTAACAACACAATTTACATGAAAAGGCTAATGGTCATTTGTATCATCTGATACAAACAGGCATAAATCAATAAAGACTACTTTGAAAGTAAATTCTCCATCATGTCGAAAAAATAATGACGAATAGTCTCACACATAGTGATTCTGGTCTTGCCGTCACTGACTTAACAGTGCTGTTACAACCGCTAATGTAGAAAACAACAGGTAATGTAGTAACAACCGTTAATGTAGCACACTCCACAGCTTATGTAGTAAAACTCCCCGCTAATGTAGAAACACCAACAGCTTATGTAGTAAAACGAAAGTCTACCCCAGCTAATGTAGAATGCTCAACAGCTAATGTTGTCTCACAGCTAATGTAACTACTATCGCCAGCTAATGTAGATACAATATTACAATACCATTGGCTGAAATGCATGGGAGGAACTAAAATTATGTTGTCTGTACATTTCAAATTGGAGTGTAAACCTGTGAGGGCACTATAAAAAATGCCATCTATGCTTATAATAGGGTGCTCCTCTCGGTAACCGCTAATACTAGCTTAATAACAATGGTATCGCATTGTTCATAAGATCGACAATGGCTTAGGTTCGTCGCGGTCGGTCGGTAGGTCCCCATTATATTTAACATCTGTTTTCCCAATTTAAGTTAAGCCGGGTACTTACTGCGCCCGACCATCGTCGGCCGACGCGATTCCTTGTAGAACGATCCGTTCAGACTGTCACCGACGATCAGCAGGCGGCATGGTGTGGCGTCGTCGTCGCTCACAAGGAGCGAAATTAGATTCGTCTTACGACGCAGTGAGTGCCCTGCATTATACTGCTTGGTTTAGCAGGCAGTTTATTATAATAATGTTGGTAGGATCAGTCGGTTGATCTGTCAGTCTGTCTTATATACCTTACATTGGCGGATCTGGAGGGGTCAGGGGGTCAGAAAAATTCTAGACTTACTTTCATCAGGAACCGTGAGCTGAATTTTTTTGTTTTGTTACAATGAGAAAATCAGAAGTCGGGAAAGCTCATTTCCCGCTATCTAAGAATTAAATGTTCCCGGGGAAGACACCCGACACTCTTTCTTTGGGGTTCATCGATTCATGAAAAAAAGAACACTTATGCAATTACTGTACTCATTTTTTTTTTTTGTATAGACCTATATGACATGATATGCCTATCTCTAATAAGAATGAGAAAATTTATCTGAACGTTTTCAAATTTCAAGAGGGCATAAAAACTTGAATTTTGAAGAACTTAAGTCATTAAAAGACACTTCAGAAGTCTGGAAAGCTCATTTCCCGCCATCTAGGAATAAAATATTTCCCAGGGGAGGACACACCCCCTTTCTTTTTTGGATTTTTTTTTTATCTTTCTAACCCCCATCCCCCCACCCCAGTAAATTTCAACTCAGATCGGCCCCTGATCTTATTATATATAAAGTAAACAGCCAGAAAGAAAGGCCTTCACTTGGTATATAATCCTTCGTTGGAGCAAAATGAAAAAAAAAATATAACCATATAAAATACCTTATTATATGATAAAATGGTGGTAGTTTAGTGGTTATGGCGTTCACCTTGACAACTAGAGGTCACAGGTTCGATTCCCGTCTCAGGTAATTTATCTCATAATGTATTTATAGAACAATATTCATTGAGGATTATACTGTGAGATCGCAAACAACGGGCAACAAAACGGAAGACGAAATGCAATACTGCTGATAATAATTTAAAGACGTAATAGTTTATAGCTAGTAACCTAAATTATGTTCCACTTTGATATAAGATTTTATACTATAATATTTTACATTAGCTGGCGATAGTAGTTACATTAGCTGTGAGGCAATTTTCTTTACTACATTAGCTGTTGAGCGTTCTACATTAGCTGGGGTTGATTTTCTTTTTACTACATAAGCAGTTGGTATTTCTACATTAGCGGGGAGTTTTACTACATTAGCTGTGGAGTGTGCTACATTAACGGTTACTACATTAGTTGTTGTTTTCTACATTACCGGTTGTAACAAGTGCCAATATGACGAAGTTGAGAAACATGCTTTCCAAAATAGCTTAGTACAAAATAATAAACGATTCAGATGGTAATCGTGCATCTAACATTGACATTGGCATTCACAAATTTTCTTTTGACAATGTTTTCTGTTTGTTTATTTCATACTCAAACGACGCCACCAAGAACCAAATATAGACAATTTTAATAGTTAAAAAACGTTCTGTCCTCTCAGGTCATTGTTTGGCGTTCAGCGCCGCACACACACACACACACACACAAACACTGCTCCGTATTTTTTTTATAAAATTTCAAAAGTTGACACTTTATGTATCTTCAGTGTTTTAATTTCGTATATAAACTTATGAATGACAATATGCCGAAGAGTTTATTTCAGCTCTTAAAAGCAGCAAAGTCAAAAATTATAATACGTTCTACGTTCACATCAAACCAGCATTCCGGTACAGAGTCCGGAGAAAAAATCATGGAATATGGGTTCAGTGGTAAAGAATAGGACCGTTCACGTACATAACATTCGTTTTCAATCCGGACTCCAGATCTGGAACGATGAATCTTAGAGCCATTTGCATCCTAAAATCATGCGTTTTTTCTTTCTTGGACCAATCAGCAACAAGCTTGGTTGGTTCGAACCAATCGAACGCATATTTTCCTATCCCGAACAACCCTGTTCCGTGCGCGATGTGAACGCAGCGTTCAAAAAGCGTAGCAACTCACGATTTTTTGTCCGGGCTCCGGACCACATTCGGGCTTGATGTGAACGTAGCTTTATACGAGTGAATTTGTAAAGTACATGAATTTTTAAAATCATTTGAAAAGTTCATACCGAATTCTGTCGTATAAGATAAAAATAGGATTAAACTTATTGCCGAAAATTGCAGGTAGAGGAAGCGTAGAAGATTTTTTACTATTAAAGCATAGTAAACCCTTATTTAAGAAACTGAATGTTTTAAATATTTTTGATCTTCATAAAATCCAGGTCTTATCCCTTGTGTACCAATATGAAAATCATTCATTACCAATTTCGATTTCAAATATTTTTTGCACAGGTAAAAGAATTAATGCATATAATTTTAGAAAAACACGAAGACTAGATATTCCTTTTGCAAGACTTACAAAGACTCAATTTTTTGTTAAATTCTATGGTCCTAAATTATGGAATGAAATTACAGATAAAGTCAATAGTTGCAATAACTTACATTTATTCAGAAAAACTTTAAAAAAAAGAATATCTTTCAAATTATACAGATATAATTTAAATCACATGTTCTATACCGTTCATTTGTTAACATTTATAATAAACATAATCTGATATGAGATACATTTTTTTGCATGTTGTTTATTTATATATTTATATAAAAAAATTTATTTTATATCTATTATATTCTCTTTTGTTCATCTTTTGTTTATTCATCATTTTGAGACAATTTTTTTAACTTCTAATCTGATTCCTAAATCGTAATTTATAGCTATTAATTGTTTACTTTCACGTGAATATCGATTTGAATAAATGTTACTGAACTTCTGAAAGCTGCAGTTACTTATTATTGGTTTTTTTTTGTATAATTTGTAGCACAAACCCAATGTGATTTCGAAGATCCATACATTTGTTATTTTGTACAAGATGAAACTGATGATTTTGATTGGATAAGAAAATCTGGATCAACACCCACTTTTGGTACTGGCCCTGAGAATGACCACACTTACGGAACATTACAAGGTAATAAAAAGCTGACATAAATTTATATTTCCTAAATGAAATTGTAAATTCCTAATGAATATATTTCAAAAATTACAAACAAAAATAAATAAAATAAATATCAAATAGGCCTAGATCTAAAAAAAAAATTCTATTAAACCTTCTTACAGGTTTCTACGTGTACATTGAAACTTCATATCCACGATACAACTACGAAACCGCTCGTCTTTGGACATCGTCATATCCTGCAACAGACGGCACATGCGTCAAGTGGTTCTACCACATGTACGGAGCCACAGTGAACACATTGAATGTATACATAGTCAATACAACAGGTACTGTTGGTGTACCTGCGTGGACAAATAGAAACAACCAAGAAAACCTTTGGCGACTTGGAAAAATCTCGGTTGAAACAAAGAGTGCCTTCCAGATAGTGTTTGAAGGAATTGTAGGAAGGAGTGATACAGGTGATATTGCTTTAGATGACGTCAGGATCATCGATGGAGCATGTTTGAGAAATGGTAAAATACACCTTCATCTTACAATTCACTACAATAAAAAGGTTATTATCCCCTTTGCCCCACCCCTCCACCATTTTCCATCTGCCTTTTTTCCCTTTAGTAGGACCGGTTAACCACACTTATATTTCTACTCTTTTCTTTTAATATGCACATGATAAAATATAATTATTATTCGTTTTATACAATTACGGTAAGCTTAAAATAAATTAAGCTCATCTGTATGCAATTAAAAAGCTTAATAAAAAATCATGTTACATATTATTATCAATTTCTACGGTACACATGGGTGGCGCCTTTGTGAGGCATGGAGATTTCGTCGGGGAAAAAATACATATATGTATATATATATATATATATATATATATATATCTGTCTCTTATACACATCTATCACACGTTTGGAAAATCCTTGCGCCGCCCCTGACGGTACCTAATAAAAGGGGGAGGGGGTCAGTCCTGACTAAACATTATATTCTTAACATCTCTTATCAAAATTCAATATTGTACTGCACTACAGAGTTGTTATTGCTGTTATGGTTATAGTCGTTACGCGTGTGTGTAAACAACGGGCGTATTGGCAGACGTGCTGTGTCACGGTTGTTGTCGGTCTTTTGCTATTTAGGTTCCATGGCAAGCACATCGTTATATTACACTGTATTACTGTGTTGAGTTTCAGGGTTCAATAAAGTTGTAAAAGAACCTAATAGGCGTGCATATGTCTTTGTACATTTCGTGGAAAATACATAACAACACTGGCGACGAGCGGTAGCAACTTTTGAGCAAGTTACCAGAAATCCTAATTAATATACATTTATTTAAATGAGAAAAATATCCAATCAGAGTAAAGTAGGTATTATGGCTAAAATGTATATTGAAAATAAACAGTTCTGAGATAATTGTAGGTTAGTGCCATTTATCAGTGTGATAACCAGGAAATTAAATAATCAATTACATAACTAGAGAAATAACTTTAATTCTTTGGTTGCTTTAAAGACGCTATAAGATTGGCTTGTTTACATAAAGATAGGCTTCTTTAGGTAGTAGTATGTTCGTATTATTGTTGCAAGATTGTAGTGATATTAAAAACTGCCCATAGTGGATCTGAATTAAATAATTCATGTTTCCTAGATTTTAATAGCCTTGCAGGTTCGTACAACGACAGATTTTTTTTTTTCATGTAAAATAGAATATGAAATTTTCATGTTCTTATTCGAGAATTTATATATAATATTGATTGGAAGTTAGAATCCGATCGCAGGATCTCTTTTGATGAGTGATGTTATTCTCCATATACGAACAAAGTATTTAATTAATCTATGTTTAATTTATATTTGAAGATACTTGCGATATTGACTGCATGAACGGTGGAGTTTGTGTCATTTTGGATTACGGTATCGAGAACTGTCAGTGTATGACTGGTTTTATTGGTCCAACATGCAATATAGGTGAGCTTTTACAGTTAAGGCTTAAATGTGGATTACACATTCAGCTAAATATAATAGTTATCCTAGAGTGAAGAATATTGTTAACATTTCATACAACATGATTACCATGTAAAAAGATTAGAGAGTATGCATTTTATTTGATTCAGTTAGACAGCAACATGATTATGTATGTTTTAGTGTATTTTATTGGCTCTCTTTACGTTTAGTGTTGGAGTGCACCAACAGTAATCATGACAAAAATTCCGTGAAAACGCATAGGTTTACCACCTGTTAAGTATCCTCTATCATGCCATATGAATAAAGCAGGACTAAAGGTGCATTAACATGATTCACACCAAATCCGAATTTTCGGATCGGGACATCTCTACCGATGCGATCAATAAACGAATCAGTGTGTATGAAACAGGGACGCTGCAGCACAGCCCTTCGCAAACACGGCCCGAATTTCTGTTCAGATCCGATGTGAATGCAGCTTTATAGGAAGATTACTAAACATTTACAAAAAAAAATAGTTAACAGCAAAAACACTCAGCAAACGTTATGATAGATGTAAACATCAGTCATGAGTTTAAGTTTGCATATTTTGTCCTCATGTTATTAATGATATTAAGACAAAGAAAATAAGATAAGGACAACATTTAAAAAAAAGAGACTATTATTTAATAATTATTTTAAATTTAAGCAGATATTCTAGTATTATTTAATGACACAGTTTATTAAGTTCCTTAATAAATTTTAACAACTTTGGCTAGGTACTGTAAAATTGGGGTCAAATAGAAATTATAACACATTAACATTATTGTATTCAAAGAAAAACGTATTAATTTATTAACTAAAATCATTTGAAGTTGTAAATCTTTCAGGTATTAGAAATTCGTCTTTAGTTTGAATGAGAATCTGTCAAATGCAGTAAATCAGTTTTGAAGAAGCTAATAATGTAATATTATATTTAAAACTACAACCATAAGATGTTTTGGTAGTTACTATTAACATGTGAATATGCAGTTGATAGCTGTTTAACTTCATGCTAGTAGATTTAGAAACTAGATGATTATTTTGTATTATCCAAAATGTTCATACCAAATTCAGCTGATCTTTGGTAGGAATAGGGAACTCATTATCAAATATTGCTGGTAGAGGAAAGTATAGAAGAATTATAGTTGTATTGTGTATTTCTTTAGATCAAGCCCAATGTGATTTCGAAGATCCATACCTTTGTTACTTTGTACAAGATGAATCGGATGATTTTGATTGGATAAGAACATCTGGATCAACACCCTCATATCGTACTGGCCCTGAGTATGACCACACATATGGAACATTACAAGGTAATACAACATTGACATTTTTCATTCATAAAATCTAAAATAAAATTGTAAAATTATCAATGAAAATATTGCAGAAACTGCATATAAAATAAAACAAGTTAACACAATTATAAATAGATGTAAAAGAAAATTCCATGAAATCGAAATGTTTATTTCATTTGATTACAGGTTTCTACATATACATTGAAACTTCAAGTCCGAGAAACCTCAACGACATCGCTCGCCTTTGGACAATGACATATCCTCCAACAAACGGCACATGCGTCCAGTGGTTCTACCACATGTACGGGGCCACTGTGAACACATTGAGTGTGTACATAGTCAATACAGCAGATACTCTTGGTACACCTGTGTGGTCAATAAGAAACGAGCAAGGCAATGTTTGGCGACGTGGACAAATTTTTGTGGAAACAAGTAGTGCCTACCAGATAGTGTTTGAAGGAATTGCAGGAAGTAGTTATACAGGAGATATTGCTTTAGATGACGTCAAGATCACCGATGGAGCATGTGTGCGAAATGGTATTATACAGGTTCAGCTTCTTACACTTCACAGCCATAAACAATGTTATAATCCCTGTTGTCACCTTATATATTTACCAAACGTTACCATCCTAGGTCCGATGCAACCTGTCGATATATCCCCCCAATATTTGACAAGGTAGGGGGGTGGTCCATCGTATCATCCCCCCAATATTTTGATTATGTATGGGATAAAATGGAGCTTTACACACTTCAAAAGACTGTTACAGAAATAATTTGCACTCTCTTATGCGCTTACAAAGATGAAAATTAGCATAATGTATTAACGCTGATAACAAAATTATTTTATCTGGTACCAATCTAAGCTCTTCATTCCTTAGATGTTATATTTGCTTGCAAAGAGAGCCACATTTCACACTGAAGGGTGTGTACGACATCAGTAATGTTATGTCAATTCCAAGAATGTTTAAGGTTATATCGGTTGATGAGAAATTTATTGATTAGGCCTATAATAGCAAATTGCATCAATTTATTTTGCAAAAACAAGGTTTCCAGCTTCAGAGGGGGCACATCCCCTGTCCGCACAAGGGCACACATTGACGCTAACACCAGGCGCGTAACAGGGGTCTTGGGTCAGAGTGGGTATTTATTTTTTTATTTTTTTTATTTTTTATTTCAACCATCTTTAAAGAGGGTAACCCTTCTAATTTAGCCCAGTAGGTTAACTGATATTCAGGGGCCCTCTTTAATAAAATTAAAGAACAGTACAAACAACATCATTACAACATAATAATAATAAGAATAATAATAACAATAATAATAATAATAATAATAATAATAATAATAATAATAATGATAATGATGATAATGATAATGATAATGATAATAATAATAATAATAATAATAATAATAATAATAATAATAATAATAATAATAATAATAACAACAACAACATACAATCCTCATTTCCCGGTTAGTAAGTTACCATACTCACCCCACCCCACCCCACTCCCCATATAGAAAACAATACGACATAGGACTTTCTTATTTATAATATAGGCCACACACGTGTGTTTGAAACTAAATATAAGCATTTTCATCATGGTTTTACTTATTACAAACATATTCTTTCACCATCTATACACATTGAGGCCCTTCTTTTAGGTTAAAATGATCTATCTTAAATTTGTCTTTCTTGAGTTTGGGACTATTATGTGTTTAAATAACTTAAAAGAATAAAACTAAAAAGCCCTAAAAACTGTCTCTTATACACATCTAGATGTGTATAAGAGACAGGTCCTGGATATTAAGTAGATCCCTGATAAAAGATCATGAGAAATTTGTTGGCGTTTCATTTTGACTATAATGGTGATGTGATGATGATGAATGTTACTAAAAGTGTCATTTCTGGCCATCTAGAGGAAATTTCCTCAAATTTCCTCACCTCAGCTATAAACCATGGTGGGGCTGAGGTGGGTGTCGACTTACAAAATGCCCTCCCCCTCCACCTTTCAAAACAGATCTGTGCCCTTTCCTGGGTATTACATTAAACTCCATCGAGTCGGCTCCTGATGTATGACCATAGAGAAAATAGAACAGTATGACTTTGTAACTACCGGTACTGAGGCGAGGGTCCATACATTTTTTTTTAGAATGTGATCTGGTTTTTCATGTCGGGATTATCTGGTTTTCATTGTTCGTGATTATGACTATTTTGGATAAAGAATGTTTTGAGCAGAAATGGATTCAAGCCCCCCCCCCTCCTTCATTTTTTAAGGGAAAAATATATTCAAATTAAGTGTGAGAGTGTAATTTCCGGCCATCTAGAGATGCCCTAATTTATTTTTACACCTCCTAATGCACATTTTGTCAAAACAATACTACATGTACCTACTACCGGTGACCACCCTCTATTATGCCGGTAATAATATAAATACGAGGAATGGTAATTGAAGGATCTTGAGCTCTACTCTTGATGAGGACAAAATTGTAATTTAAAAAATTGTTTTTATACAATTAGTATTATTTGTGATGACAGATGATATTCTATTAATACGAACACTATATTTAAATAGTTTATATTTAATTTATATTTGAAGAAACGTGTGATATTAGCTGCTTAAACGGCGGAGTCTGTTTCATCTCAGATTATGGATTCGAAAACTGTCAATGTACGCTTGGTTTTGTTGGACAAACATGCAATATAAGTAAGTTTTTACAGTCATAAAATGTGAATTAATTTAATTGTTCCATGGGAGTAGGTATTGAGCAGTTTCATCTAAAAAGATTTGTATAACGAATAATTTATGTAGCCTATCCACTGGCATGCCATGTTAAATTAAATATGCAGGACAAATAGGGAAAATATCAAGAATTTAAACATCGATTTACAGTAAACATTTAGAAAACATTTAATTAATAGATGTTAACATAATTAAATGATTCGTTTTAATTTTTTTTTTCTTTTTTTTATTAATGATTACCTATTAAATTAAATATACGATAGAGACAAAATTTCAAAAAATGATATTCATTACTCAATCATTTTAATAAATTAAATTTACTCAGATAACCTTGCAATATTGACTTTAGTACATGTCAAGAACTTTGGCTAGATAAGGGCATTTTTCAGCGTCACATCGTGACATTTTAGCAAAAATTTCTAAACTAAAAGTAGTTTTTCAAAAATAGTAGTTAAAATTAAAATGAAAATTCCTGTGAAAGTACACTACATTATTTACTCTATGTTAGTTATTTAAACATCTTAATTATATACCTTAAACAGGATGAAAGTTATTTTCCATTCAGGATGTTTTGAATAATATGCCAAAAAAGCACTAGAGGTTAGCGTCACGGCGTGACCGTCACTGCGTGACATGTTAAAATTACCAGTTTATAGCATTTATGAATAAAATTAAACAGAAAATTGCTCAAACATGAGTAATATGGTAAAATAAATATTTTCTGAATAAATATTCGGAAACAATTTAAACCCTTTACATAAGAAGCCACATGTATCAAGTCAATCAGATCCAGACGTTATTGATGTGAATGGAAATCGTCTGATAATGTAAAGTAATTAAATGGATTGTCTTAAAACACTCTACACTATTATTTAAATGCATGATACTTCATGATCCAAAACCAATAATGTTTATTTATCACACAATTGAAAGAATAGCATAGAAAAATACCTTTATAGAGGCTAAATGTCACACCGTGACATGACAAACTTATAAGCATTTTTCTCTTGGTTTATTGAAGTTTTTCATTAAAATGAACATGATTTTAAATTTGGTGTGAATGTCCTTCACAATTTAGCAGAGGATTTTAAAATTTCAGTCATTAGTATTTAAATAAACAGAAAAAAGTCACTTTTTGTCACAGTGTGACATAGAAAAACTTAGATTTTTGCTAGATCAATAGTCCATAAAGTAAAAAAGGTTTACAAAAAATTATTTTTCCTGGTAAACAGCAATATACGTTTAATTTGAAAAAAAAAATGGGGGACGGCCTCAATATCTTAATAATAATTTTTTAAATGTTGTTGTTACGCTGTGACGCATAAACAGCGTGACGAAACAGAAGTATTTTTTCCCCTGTTAATTAAAGTTCTTAAGTAAAATGAACATGATTTCTTAGTAGGTATTAATGTTCTTCAGATCTTAGCCATACATTTTAAAATTTCATCTAGTGGTATTTGAAATAACCTAAAAACATTCACTTTTTACATCACAGCGTGACATCGAGAAACATGAGAGAGCAGCTTAGCTCAGTCGGCTTATCTGGTGGTAGCCACTCTGTGTGCGCTGAACCGTAGAGATCTCTAGGTCCTCGGTTTAATTCCCATCGCTGCCTCTCCTTGTGTTTCAGCTAGAGGGCTGAAATACAAGTTGCAATAGCGCACCGTTTTTCGGATGAGACGTTTAAACTGTTGGTTCCGTGTGCATCTATGGCCCATGTGCACGTTAAAAAACGCAGTACACTCTTCGGAAAAGAGTAGGGGATTTTCTCCTGGTGTACTGTCCAATCACCACCAGAAGGATCCCACTGGAAATAAGTCTTCTTCTAGACTTTCGTGGGCTATCCTTGGTGTTTACACAGAATAAATCCAATCCAATGTAGACATTATGAAATCAATGGGCCGTGAAATATATGTTTTTACAAAAATTTAACTTACTAAATTTTATTTCAATTGCCCTGGTTTAAATAACATATCAAATTTATTTTGTATTAAATTAAATATTGTATTTTTCAGAGAATGTAAAATATGCAATGTCAATCCTTATTTTGCTACTTTAAATTATGCTAATTTGCATATGCAAATTAGCAATGGCAATTAGTCATTTATGTAAAATTTATCCCAAACTCAAAAAATATACTCCTTAAGGTTTCATATGATACTAAACTTTACTTATCAAGTAAAATTTAAAATTCTCATTTTTTTTTCTGAGTTTGCTAAAAAATGTCCATAATGTAAAAATGGGGTCTGTGGTAAATGATCAATAATTACAGGTTATTGTATTCAGAGGAGAATGTATTTGAATTAATTAATTGAACGATCATTACATGAAAGTTGAAGTTTCATGACAATTCTACCAGATGAGCAGCGGCACTTCATGGTTAACACGAGAAGGGGCACTAGTCACTTTGAAGTACACTTCAAGTCCTTTGGTGCACTAATCCAGCACATAAACTAAACTGAATGGCGGGTGCAAATGAAGAGGGCATGTTAACCTTGAAGCCAAAGTGGTGCTGCTGAACAGGTAGAATCGTCATCAAATTTCACATCACACAAGTAAGGCTCGTTTAATTTTTAATTCTACTATATCAGCAGCGACTTTTAAGACATAAGAGTTTTAAGCAAAAATGAACATCTTGTGACACAAAATCAACGTGAATTTGTAGCGTGGAATCCAAAAACTGTCAATCGGTACCGACTTGCTTACCTTGCTGACATTTGCTTCCCGTGCACTATGGGCAGCAAACCTAGTAGTGTTTATTCTGGCTAGACCGAGCAACAATTTAATTCATCTACCTACAGTACCAGCTCCAATAATAGTCATAAATGGTTTAACATATAAAATTAAAGTTTGTAACTAATTGACTTCTCAATAAATGCGTACACTCCAAATACTTTTCAAGTGCAGCGTATACGATTCAATTCACTTCATTTGATATTCACCTAAAATAAAAGGGTATGGTCAAAAACCAGGCATAATGCAAACAATGAAAATAAAAAAGGGGAAAAAACCAATGTAAAAAGTTAATAACAAGAAAACAGGCGATGGGGACAGAATAATTTGATCCCCGTCTGTAGGTCGAAGCCTCAAGAACAGTAAGCCTTTTAAATGCAGATTAAAAACAGGTGTGATGACATCATATTATTCATCAGAAGCCATAATAAAAAGAATTTTTTCTACCCTTGACATATGTTCGGAATTTTCATAATAGGCCTATTCAAGTTCAGTGAAAAGCTTGTTTCGTACATTATGGTAAATTGGGCAGCAAATTACAAAATGAAATTCATCTTTAGACTTCATCATTTTTACAAAGGGTACAGAGTCTGTTTCGAGCTTCAGTTGTAGAAATTTGTGTTTTATAAAGTGGGGAAATATCCAGGGAAATTGTTCTAGAGGGGAAAGAGTTCAGAGGGGAAGCAAAGCAAATGTTGGCAGGGGGCAAAATGCCGGGGGGAAAGTGTTCGGGGGGAAAGTGTTCGGGGGGAATGTCCGGGGGGCAATTGTAATTTCCACTGTTCGCAATAGTTATACAATTTATTTTCTGAAACAAAATGTCATCTGCATACATGAGACTGTTCAGTGGTTTTCCATTAACATTTACAGCGTTATATGAATCATCAAAAATGTGAGTTAAATCAGAAAGGAACATATTGAAGAAAAGGGGGCTGAGGAGACAACCTTACTTAACCACAACAGTGAAATCAAAAGGCTTTGTTACCATTCAGTTTAATTTAAGACGAAATAAAACCTTTGAATACATATCCGTAATTAAACCAAGCAATTTACCAAGAATCCCGAATCTATAATGTTTGAACATTAATCCATTTTTCCACACAGTATTGAAAGCTGCGGAAAAATGAATAAAACAAACAAAGAGATTTGAGTTTTTACTAATGCGGTTAATATATTTATCGAGAGTTGTCTTAAGAACTAAAATGTGGTCGCTTGTTCTCGCTCCTTTTTTTTTTTTTAACAAATTTGATTTTTTAGGAATAGATTGCTTTTCATTGGCTAGTGCAGTAAGTCTGTTGAGAAGTATGATGCGAAAAAGCTTACCATGTTGTTACTATCCCATTTACCAGCAGACCCTTTGACGGGTTGGCGAACCATGTTTTGCCAGATTCTTATCTCAATAATTAAATTAAACATCAAAGGAGAATAATCATAATGGATATGTTTTTGAATATTAAAAATCAATAACTTATGTTAGATGTTACAAAATAGTCTTTGATTTTATTGTGCTAGTCTTTCTATAAACTATTCACATTTTATTAGCTTCCCTGTCAATCTTGTTACAAAATCCCCTGAAGCAGTAATTAATAGAGATAAGAAGAGATCAGCAAAACCTTGTTCAACAATTGAAATTTTAGAATGGGGAAGTTTCCTCGTGAAAAAATTACTTCCAACTGCAATCCTCAATAGTTTTGAGGTACCGATTTGTCTCTCCTTTTATAAATCACAGTAAGTGTGCCAGTTCTCCAAGCCGCTTGAAAAACGCCCATATGATAATAAGTTGTCGTTTGAACTTGATTTTATCATTTCATTTTTTATACCGTCAATTCTGGCAGATTTACCATTCTTTAACTTTCTTGTGGCACCCACAACTTTCCATTGAGCAAATTCCTGGTTATGTTTGCCATTATTAGGTCAATTGTCTTCGCGAGAGTTAAACTTGTTAATAAAATGCTTAAATTGTTAATTTTTATGAGGTGTGTGTATATTCATTATGTTGGAAAGTTGCTCTAACCAAACTTTGGGATTTTGTGATTCGTGTATTCTTTTTTTTTTTTTTTTTTTTTTTTTTTTGCAACAGAGATCCCCTTTCTGGATAGTCTAAGACACCTGACGATAATATTAAGTAGCTGTCTCTTATACACATCTAGATGTGTATAAGAGACAGGATAGGTCGAAGCCTCAAGAACAGTAAGCCTTTTAAATGCAGATTTTAAAAAAATCAATAACAGGTGTGATGACATCATATTATTCATCAGAAGCCATAATAAAAAGAATTTTCTCTACCATAGAGATGGACATATGTTCGGAGTTTTCATAATAGGCCTATTCAAGTTCAGTGAAAAGCTTGTTTCGTACATTATGGTAAATTGGGCAGCAAATTACAAAATGAAATTCATCTTTAGACTTCATCATTTTTACAAAGGGTACAGAGTCTGTTTCGAGCTTCAGTTTTAGAAATTTGTGTTTTATAAAGGGGAGAAATATCCAGGGAAATTGTTCTAGAGGGAAAAGAGTACAGAGGAGAAGCAAATGTTGGCAGGGGGCAAAATGCCGGGGGGAAAGTGTTCGGGGGGAAAGTGTTCGGGGGGAATGTCCGGGGGGCAATTGTAATTTCCACTGTTCGCAATAGTTATACAATTTATTTTCTGAAACAAAATGTCATCTGCATACATGAGACTGTTCAGTGGTTTTCCATTAACATTTACAGCGTTATATGAATCATCAAAAATGTGAGTTAAATCAGAAAGGAACATATTGAAGAAAAGGGGGCTGAGGAGACAACCTTACTTAACCACAACAGTGAAATCAAAAGGCTTTGTTACCATTCAGTTTAATTTAAGACGAAATAAAACCTTTGAATACATATCCGTAATTAAACCAAGCAATTTACCAAGAATCCCGATTCTATAATGTTTGAACATTAATCCATTTTTCCACACAGTATTGAAAGCTGCGGAAAAATGAATAAAACAAACAAAGAGATTTGAGTTTTTACTAATGCGGTTGATATATTTGTCGAGAGTTGTTTTAAGAACTAAAATGTGGTCGCTTGTTCTCGCTCCTTTTTTTTTTTAACAAATTTGATTTTTTAGGAATAGATTGCTTTTCATTTGCTAGTGCAGTAAGTCTGTTGAGAAGTATGATGCGAAAAAGCTTACCATGCTGTTACTATCCCATTTACCAGCAGACCCTTTGACGAGTTGGCGAACCATGTTTTGCCAGAGTCTTATCTCAATAATCAAATTAAACATCAAAGGAGAATAATCATAATGGATATGTTTTTGAATATTAAAAATCAATAACTTATGTTAGATGTTACAAAATAGTCTTTGATTTTATTGTGCTAGTCTTTCTATAAACTATTCACATTTTATTAGCTTCCCTGTCAATCTTGTTACAAAATCCCCTGAAGCAGTAATTAATAGATATAAGAAGAGATCAGCAAAACCTTGTTCAACAATTGAAATTTTAGAATGGGGAAGTTTCCTCGTGAAAAATTACTTCCAACTGCAATCCTCAATAGTTTTGAGGTACCGATTTGTCTCTCCTTTTATAAATCACAGTAAGTGTGCTAGTTCTCCAAGCCGCTTGGAAGACGCCCTTTTTAAAATAATTAATAAATATACGCGTTGTGCATTTGATAATACGTTGTCGTTTGAACTTGATTTTATCATTTCATTTTTTATACCGTCAATTCTGGCAGATTTACCATTTTTTAACTTTCTTGTGGCACCCACTACTTTCCATTGAGCAAAATCCTGGTCATGTTTGCCATTATTAGGTCAATTGTCTTCGCGAGAGTTAAACTTGTTAATAAAATGCTTCAATTGTTAATTTTTATGAGGTGTGTGTATATTCATTATGTTGGAAAGGTGCTCTAACCAAACTTTGAGATTTTGTGATTCGTGTATTTTTTTTTTTTTTTTTTTTTTTTTTTGCAACAGAGATCCCCTTTCTGGATAGTCTAAGACACCTGACGATATTACTAAGTAGAATGATTGCTATTTAAGTTGCACTTATTGTTTTATTCATTTATTTTTTATTCCAGGAACTATAAAAACCAAGATAGAAGCTAGCTTAAGTTCAGACACACGCATGTCATAGCGGAAAATAATAAAACTCGTTTCAAACACTTAATATTGTCTCTTAATCTATAATCATTTTATTCTGTCAGAGCACCACCAATATTTTTAACAAGATTTAAACACTATACAAATAGGCATCGTGTTAAATTAAAACTCATAAGCCTTCTGCAGGTTGTTTTTTTTTTCTTGTTTTTGTTTAAAAATTACGTATACGGTTACTTATTCGTCTTTCTAAATGGACTAAATATTGATGTTATAACTAAGCACTATATTAAGAAAAAAAATCAATGACAAAATCAAAAGTGTAAACAGAAAAATAGTAGGTTTATGAAGACATGATCATATATAAACATACAATACTATAAAGTAAACCTTTTGTCTATTATCAATAAGCCTACTAATATATTGTTTGCAACACATTTCTCAAACAAATTGTCTTTCTTTAGCGACCTTTAATGTGCTTGGCTTAACCAAACCGTCTAAAAGAGAACAGCTGGATGTTGACTGCTAAACAGATACAATGTAGATGTAATCGCGTTACCAGAAACAATAAATGTAATCATAACGAAGATATTAAGTTAACATTAGGAAACATTTTTTTTCAAATAAAAAAAAAGTAGCTTTAGGCCTATTATTTAAGAAAAAATCGAACAATATAATATCATCAGCTGGAAGCAAATTGCTGAAGATATTGCCTATCTTGATGTTGAAATAAAAACAGCCAGTAAAGAAAACACAAAGACTACATTATAAACTGTTGTAGTCTAACAAATTCTGAAACAGTTAAAATTACATCAGCATTTTATTAACATTACAATGTAATTTACAACAACGTCAGAACTTATTTACACTTGGTGGTTTTAATGCCAACATTAATAAACATTTCCGTTGCGAAAATGACAATGGACTTTTTTTTACAGTAATATTGGTTAGTATGCACATTGTAAAAAGATAAACAATAAGAGAAAAAATTACTTAGATTTATCGTTGACCATAAACTTTATATATGAAAAGCAGCTTTCAAATATAGTACAAGGCACATTCACAACGCATATTTATCGTAAAGATCAGACAAAAGGAAAAACACATCTTACCAGTTTATAACCAGATTGTTAATACTCCAGAGCGCATAGAGGAACTTTTACAAGCAGTGATGAATTGGCATGTTATAAATTTGTATACGATGAAATATATAGAACTATTAATTAACAGTTATTGACAAAGATGTAAAATATTCATAATGTCGAAAATCTAAAAATTAAACTTAGAATTATTCTGCTGAATTATTAACCATTCGAATGTTGCCAAAATAATGAAGCTTGAGAAACTATCGGTTTTACAAATGATCACAATAAAAAAATAGTTTGAACCAAAATGTGGAACACTTATATTATTTTACTGCTGCTGCTGCTGCTGCTGCTGCTGTTATTGTTATTATTATAATTACAAAATTGAAAGAAACTACAATTTATATTGTAAAATTAAATAAATTTAGGTGTCGAAAATTTCAAAAAGCAAAAAAAACATGAAGTTGAAGAATAATGTAAGATATAATTTAAAATATCAAATCAAAGATTTTGTGTAGTTATTTTAACATACAACTATTTTTGAGTGATATTTGTGAAGTACATGGATTTGTTAAATCAACGGAAGAGTGCATACCTAATTCATTAGATATAAGATAGGAATAAGATGAAACTCATTGCCAAAAATGCTGGTAGGGGAAAATGTAGAATATTTTCAACTATTAAAGTTACAATTATTATTTGCGTTATTCCAACCAATGTGACTATTGCAATTACTTTAATTTTTTTTTTGTATAATTAGCAACGCAAACCGAATGTGATTTCGAAGATCCATACATTTGTTACTTTGTACAAGATAAAACGGGTGATTTTGATTGGATAAGAACGTCTGGATCAACACCCACATCTGGTACTGGTCCTGAGTATGACCACACTTACGGAACATTACAAGGTATTAAAAAGCTGACATGAATTTATATTTCCTAAATTACATTGTATATTTCTAGTGAAAATATTTAAAACTACAAACAAAATAAATAAAATAAACATCAAATAGATCTAAAAAAAAAATCTCTATTACACTGGAACATTTATTTTCTCATTTGCTTACAGGTTCCTACATGTACATCGAAACTTCATATCCGCGATACAACAACGAAACCGCCCGTCTTTGGACATCACCATATCCTGCAACCAACGGCACATGCGTCAAGTGGTTCTACCACATGTACGGGGCCACAGTGAACACACTGAATGTATACATAGTCAATACAACAGGTACTGTTGGTGCACCTGCGTGGACAAATAGAAACAACCAAGAAAACATTTGGCGACTTGGAAAAATCTCAGTTGAAACAATGAGTGCCTTCCAGATAGTGTTTGAAGGGATTGTAGGAAGGAGTGATACAGGTGATATTGCTTTAGATGACTTTAGGATCATTGATGGAGCATGTTTGAGAAACGGTAAAATACAACTTCATCATTTCACAATTCACTACAATAAAAAGGTTATTATCCCACCCATTTGCATCTGACTTTTACCACCTATGGCCTTCACCAATCGGCATTTTTAAACCCAACTTTTTGACAATTGTTGTGAACCCAGGATTTTACCAGACCTTCGCATTACCATCCAAGGCCCGATGCCACCAAACATGTTGCCAATTCCCTCGTTTCGTTTATAGATCTATCAGCCCTTTAGTAGTTTTTTTGTTTTTGTTTTTTTTTTTTTGTTTTTTTTTGCCTGGGCCACATAATGGTATTGTATACAAATAATGAATGTTTATGAGTGCAATGGTGAAAAAAAGATTGACTGTTCCATTCAACGAGGCGAAGCCAAGTTGAATGGAACAGAATACCTTTCAACGAATGAAAATATTCTTTCCATTGCACGAATACAAAACTTTTATTATTTGTTTTATAACACACCTAAATAGATCCTTGTCATTTGATCATCTTCCAAGCCGTGTCCCAGACTGTAAAAGTTATGCTTGTCGCCTGCTCCGGGAATAGGCTATAGACCATTACTGGCCGCAGATCAATATTTCACCCCACCCTCAGGCACGCGAGGTCATCTGATCGAATCAGTTCGGCCAAGACTGGACATTACCTCCGCGCAAAACCTAGGCCCTAGGTCTAATGCTATTATACCCTAGGCCTAGGCTAAAAATCCAGCCGGGCACTTCGGAAATAAGCGGCCGATTCCACACACATTTTGGGTAATTTGAGCTAGTCTTTGATTTATCATCGACGCTATTAAAATACTTCACAGTAAACCATAACAACTCCCTCAGTAAACAAAATCTCCGATACATTGCACACCGCTAAGACAAGCTCAGCAAGAAGTAGGCTTATGGTTATATGTGACGTGACGTTATTTCATGGATTTAACCTTCTGGGAAAAAAAATCAGTTTTGCGTCTTTTTAATCGATCAAAAGATTGTATTAGGTTGAAGTCATTTCGTATCCATAGGCAATGTGCAAAGGAAGAAATTATGGGAACCATTGCTGGAAAAGAGGTTTTCAAAACACTCAAAGATCATAAAGATCATCATCAAAGCAGATGAAACCCCACCGAGGAGTATGATACACTCATACACGACAACATCACTATGTCATAATGAAGGGAAAAGAATGCAAGACCCACGAAATTTACAACACAGCCCCAAGTTAACTTGGCCCCAATTTACTGTATATTTAAGAAATACTGTATCACCAAAAGAAATTTGAATGCAAAGCCAAAATTAAAGTGTTTTATTTCCTTGACTTTGCTATTGCTTTTTTATTTACAATAATAAAAACAGCATTAATAAAAATAATATTAAAAATAATATTGATAAAAGAGGCAAATATACAAATTAATGATAATAACGATAATGAACAATATTAACATAATAATGACAATACTGATTTATAGTCCAGTCCATAGTATTCGTG